GCAGTGGGCTCGAGTACCACAGAGACTGTGAGGACGGCATGGGGTCATGTTCTGTTCTGTTCTGTTGTACACAGGGTGTCTTAAAGTCAGAACTAACTCAATGGTGCCTGACAACAAAATCCTGGAGCCCCTGCGCTTTCTGGGATGCATTCTCAGAAGTACTGAAGATGCTAGAACTCTCTGGAAAACAATGCTGAAGTCTAGTTGGCTCTCTGGGCCTTCCCTCCTGACCTGATTCCAATAGACTTGAAATTCCAAGGGGGGAAACATCACTTGAGATAATTTCAAACCAGAATCAATTCCAGGCTCAAACAGAATGTTTGAGTCTTGTGTGCTGTCAGAATATTTAAGGGAGTTGGGTCTTATTGTGTGTCGTCAAGTCAGAACTGACTCACAGCTGACCCTTCAGTGGTTTTTCAGAGACAGTCAATCGCAAGAGAGGAAATAGCCCATCTTTCTCCCATGGAACAAATGTTGAGTTCAAAACACGTGTGTTTGAGTTGTCAGCACACCTTACCCCTAGGCTACCAGAGTCCTCTCAGAGAGCTGGAGGAGAAGTAAAATCGCCTGTCCCAGGACTCTCAGCACATTCTCATTGAGCACAAAAGGAAGCCCATGAATCAGTCTTCTAGCTCAACATCCTCTTCAGCCAGATGCAAGGACACCCCAAGAGGGGTTTTTAACATTACCTCGTGTTTATATTACAGAGGAAAAAAATGTCTCTATTAAAGGTCAGTGGGCTACAGCACTGGGTCAGTCACCTTGCAAAAAAGTCAAACTAATTTATATTCTCAAAAGATGTATTGAGTGAGTAAAAGTTGTTTGCCAGAATGCAAACCACATATGATCACGATACTCACTTTTTATTAAGATTAGATTTCTTCTTCTGGCAACAATATCTGTCTCCGTGACTAAAACAAGCCATCAGCTCATAAAACTGGAGCGAGAGTGCCCCAAGCGCAGCAGCCACCCAGCAGGAGAAGAGGGTGGTTGTCAGGGAGATCCATCAGAATCATGTTTCATAACGCAAGTGCTGAAAGCAGTCATTATCAAATCTTCATATTCAGAAACAGACACGAGTGCAGGAGACCCAAGCTCTGCCCCCAGAGAGCGTGCTCTTGGCAGCAAAGCTCTCCCAGGCCTACCTGTGGGCGTTTACAGCCTTATATCTTGGCTGTAGTTCTGTGATGAGTTTGTATACCCTACAAACTTCCTTCTAGCCTATGACTTGGAGAGTTGAGAACTCCTAATCATCCTTTGCTCCATTACCATCAAGTCAAGTTGTTCCTAATCTCTGATTTACAGTTGTTTCTATAGTAAAAACACGTGCAGGCCGTGAAAATCTCTAGGTCCTTTGCATAGCATCCTTGATGGAACATGTCACCCAGCTGCATCAGAACTCCCCCGGAGTCTGGAGTCTTTGGGGAAAGAAGCAAATTCTTAAGGAAGCAAACAAGAGATAATAAATGTGTTTCACGTACTAGAAAGTGAAGAAATGCATTCGTTGTTCCATTCAGCATCCAGTTGTTTGTTTCTTCCTCCCAAAAGTTGTGATCCTGAGTGAATGGAGACCCCAGGAAGTGTCATGTATGAGTTTTAACTTGGCGGCTCTGTGCTGGCATTGAAAATCCCCAGGGTACCTCTTTATAAGAAGCACTTCTCTCTAAAGCTTGAGTTCACACATGGGTTTAGCACCTCCAGAAATTGCAGGGTAAGAGTACTGTCTTCCAAGCACCCATTCCCCTATCTCAGCCTACTCTACACTCAGTCTCCAGGACCCCAAGTAGGACTGTGTCTAGAGGAGGGGGGACCAAAGACAACTGTGACACCTGGTTTCTTCAGGGCTCCAGGATTCAGTGCAAGTCCTCTGATGCTCAGAAACTTGTCCTTTCAAACAGTTACTCCAAAGAACTGTGGACTGTGCAGCCCCTCGCCTGTGCCTCTAAAACCCTGAGATCAGAAGAACCAGAATGGTGCCCAGCTCTCACTACCAGCAACTCTGAGCAAGATCACTCTAAAATGTCCTAGGCAGAGAGGAAAAAAAGAAATGCATAAGACAAAAATTAAAAACCATAAAAAAATCAGACTTCTTTGTATGAAAGCGACTTTGGACCTCCACCCCCCAAGCCTGGGACACAGCTCACCCCCAGGATCAACTTTCAACCACACAAGAAGACTATAAAGTTAATAACACCGGAGAGATATGTGCTCCTCAGTACAGACAGACATAGAAGACTAGTAATGCAGTATTTTGCCCCAAAACAAGGCTCAGAAACAGTAAGGGACCAGAAAGAAGGACAAATGGAAACGAGGAGCCCATGGAGGAAGCGGGAAGGAGGCTGTTATACTGAGGGGATCACAACCAATAAATGTCACTACAGAATGTATAAATTGTTGAATGAAAAACTAAGTCACTCTGTAAACTTTGTTCACCAAACTGCAATTAAAGAAAAATGAACAAACGTGAAACTAAGAGAAATGTGCCCTACCTCACTTGCATTTGTACTTCTGAATTAACTTCTTGGAAGTAAGACTATGACGGGTCAAGCACTTGGTACATTCCAGGACTTGGTGGGCACATAAAATCATCACCTAATTTATTCTCCCAGCCATGCTGTTGGTATTGGTAGCTACTGTCCAGTCAGCCTCTGACTCACAGAGACCTCATGGTCAACAGAACAAAGTGTTGCCCAGCCTGCACCAACCACTGAAGACTCGCACATCAGATCACTGGGAATGAGAAGGGATGTGGGACTAATATTTGCAAGTGGATTATCAAGCCTTTCTTCCTGGTCCATCGTAGTCTGAGGGCATTTCTGAAACCTGTTCAGTGTCCCAGCTTTCCTGGGATGATACCTGAGCATGGGATGCACAGACTGGGAGTCAGCGTGGGTCTCTACCGTGGAGGGTTACAAGTCCAAGCCCTCATCTCAGCCCTGAAAAGGGGGTACTCTTGTTCCCTCTACCAGTGAATAAAGGGAGATTGGTGCATCTACCAATGAATAGAAGGAGGTTGGTGCATTCAGTTCTTAATGAAAGTCTCACAGATTTACAAAGATTCCAAGAAAATTGAAGCTCATTCTTTCATATGATCCATTGACTTCCCTTAGAATGAGCGATCCGTGAGAGCGAGGGAAGCCATGATGCCTTTCATGACCCAGTCTCAGAAGGCACAGACTGTCACTACTATCAGATTCTATCTGCCAGAAGTAAGTACTAAGTACAGCCCACACTCAAGGGGTGAGAAGTTAGCTTCTACCCATTAAAGGGAGGAATGTGAAAAATCTGTGGGCATATTTTAAAAATACCAGTGACTGTTTTCTAGTTATCCTGGGAAAGTGGCAACTGAACTATAAAATACTTTTGGTCTTGGTTCCCAAGAACTTCTTGTTGTTGTTGTTGTTGTTGCTGTTGTTGTTAGGTGTCTTCAAGTCAAGAACAATTTGTAGTGACTCTGTGAACAATGGACCTGAACTCTGCCGTATCGTGTGCCGTCCTCATCATCTCTGATACACTTGAGCCTATTGCTGCAGTCACTGTGTCAGTCCAGCTGGTTCAGGGTCTTCCTGTCTTTCACTGACCCTCCCCCTTTCCAAGCTTGATGTCCCTCTCCAAGGAATAACCTCTCCTAACAACATGTCCAAGGTGGGTGACTTTTAATCTGCAGCCCTCAGGCCTGTCTTTCATTGTTTTTGTTCAAACAATCCTCTAGGTCATATAGCCCTGGTGTGTCCACTTGCTGTACAGAGGTAACTTGTGGTTGCCATGAGGCTGAACACTATGACACTGATGTGTCAAATGCGTTAATGGTTGGTCACCCAATGCGGACAGTGTTTGGTGAAACTCTCTGATTAAAACAAGCTTGGAAGCAGGAGCAGCATCCACTTCTATAACAGCTTGCCTCCGAAAACCCTATGAACCTGGAGAGGATGACAGACACCCAAGCGTCGAGGACTCTCCTTCATAGGGTCACTATTAGTTGCCTGCGACTCGACGGCACTTAACCAACCATCTTTACCTCTGAGGAGCATCCTAACTGCTCTTTTCCCAAGACCTATTTATTTATTCTTTCGGCAGTCCATGGGACAGTCCGTACTCTCCAATGCTACTACTCAAGACTTAGAGTTTGTTAAAGGCACTGCTCATCTCTTGGCTAGCCTAGTCACCTTCAGTTCAAGCCCAGGGCCTAGCACCTAGTATGTACTCAATACATGTTTTTAATCCATAATGCAATTATGTCATAAATTAAGATTATGAAACCAGTTGTTCTTATTAACTGCCATTGTGTTGGCCTCAATTCATGGCGCCCTCAGTCACAATGGAATGAGAGAGACACTGCCCGGTCATGTGACATCCCCATGACTGATGATGAGTTGGCTCACTGATCCATAGAGTTTTCGTGATTGATTTTCAGGCACTGATCTCTCCAGGCTTTCTTCCTAGTCTGCTTTATTCTAGAAGCGCCACTGAAACTTATTCAACATCATAGGAACACGCAGAAGGAGTGGTAGCTGCCCGTGAGGTACACTGGTCATGGCCTGAACCTGGATCTCCCTCGCAGAAAGGGAGAATTCTGCCAATGAATCATCATCATACCGAAGAGGCTGTGTTACAGGCCGTTGAGTCCCCTGCAACTCATAGTGACCCCGTGTGCAATAGCTCTGAACCCTGCCCTACCGTGAGCCACTCCACACTCCAACAGCAAATAAAACAGGCACTTCCATTCATTATTATCATAATTGATCCTGTGATCTCTAGACAATCTAGATCCTAGCCTGTGCCCTGCCACTAACTCACTTAAATATCCATCTATAAGTCACATTTGTTGGAAGGAACCTGGATTTAGGAAGAGGACCCTGTGGGCCCCTTGATCTCTTTCTGTGTCTGATAATGGGGCATCATGATGAAAAGCATCTTCTGGGTCTACAAGCCACACACAGCTCACACGGCCTTACAGGGCAGCCTTCCCTCCTGATGGAAGCTTCCTTTTCTTTTCACAGATTGCCCTGCTCCCCAATAGTGCTGCTGATCTGGGCAAGTACATCAGTGGTGACAAGGTGCTGGCTTCGAACACCTACCTTCCTGGGCCACCTGGCCTGCCTGGAGGCCAGGGCCCCCCAGGTAAGTGGCACAAGGGCACAGAAGGTGGCAGAGTTGCTAGCAGAGCCTTGCAAGAGCTCACCTTAGCGGAGGCTGGAGTGTGTCCTGTAGCTCCTGTCAATGAGAGCAGGAGTGGAGCTTCAGGGCCCAGCTTGCCTGTGGTGAGAGGATCTTCGGGAATCAGACCCTCGAGATTGTGAAACATCTTTAAACCGTGTTGTTGTTGTTGTTAGGTACCAACAAGTCAAGGACTACTCATAGTGACCCTGTGAATAACAGATAATGAATCCTGGCCTATCCTGTGCCATTCTCACCATCTGTGATACACTTGAGCCCATTGCTGCAGTAACCATGTTAGTCCATCTAAACGGGGGTCTTCCTCTCTTTCGCTGACCCTCCACGTTTCGAAGCATGATAGCATTTTCCACAGAATAACTTCTCCTAGCAACATGCCCAATGTATGAAAGATGAAGCTTTGCCATCCTTGCCCACAAGGAGCGCTCTGGCTACACCTTTTCCAAGACAAGCAATAGTAACCAACAGAAAAAGACTGTTGTAGAGAACTCTGGTGGCCTAGTAGCCAGAAGCTGCAGTGCAATTCCAGAGGTACGTACGTAGCTCGAATCCACCAGATGCTCTGCTGGAGAAGGAGGGGCAGTCTCATCCTGTACCAGTCAGATCTGATTTGACGCTAAACACACAAAAAATTTTTTAAAAAAAGACTGTTGTACTTGGAGTAGATAAGATTCCCAAAGATAACTTTAAATTACAGACAAACAAAATACAAAATACTTTTCTGTAATCCCAGAAATGTTTAAACACATACAAAAGTATAATGGTATATACCCACTCCTTGCTTACCAGCAAGGTCAGGGTCAAACACAAGGTCATTATGCAAAAAAAAACTATGAAAAGCAGATCAACTCACATGCTGGAGGATGACTACATCAGTTAAGGACTACAAAATTACATCATTGCTTAACTGCCAAACCACTCAGCGTCACAACCATTACAGCCAGCATTATTCCTGTCTCATGTGGTGGTGTTTTATGCTGCCAGACACAGATAATTAATGCACAAAACAGTCTGAGAGGTTTTTCACTATTATCATAATGTGAAATGTCAGATAACCGTCTGTCGCTACATGAGCAGTAGTTGTCATGAACCCTTTCGGACTCTTCACTCAGCTCTAACAATTTGCCCTCATTTCCTGACCTCTTTTCTTCCTCCTCATATTATTTGTTAACATTCATTTATACTTGTAAATTTTTTTCCTTACAAATATTTATTAAGTAGTGTCTTACTTTCTAAGGGCTTCTATAACAAAAATACCACAAGTGGGTGGCTTTACCGCTCAGTTTATCCTTTCACAGTTTAGAAGTCTACCTGTTAGCATTCAGAGCACTGGACCTATGGGAAGGCTTTCTTTCTCTGTTGGCTCTGGGGTGAGATCCTTGTCTCTTCCACGGGTCCTCGGCTGTCTTCATGTGGCATCACATCTATCTTCCACTTTGTGTGCTGGCTTGCCTCCGTGCCTGATCTCTCTTTATATCTCAAACATAAAACTCAATACACATTTTACAAAGCTATGCTTCCTGAGTATATTAAAAAAAACCCTGTATACAGCCCAGTAGGAACACATCTACACCAGTTAGGAATCCAACACGTATTTTGGAGGGATACAATTCAGTATGCAAAAAGTTTATCTCCATTTTATTGAATGATAATTATATAAGCAAAATGTACCTGTTTATGATACATCAAGTTTGGGGTTATTGTGAAAAATAAACTTCAGTGACCCTTTGATGAGTTTTGACATATGCATAACCCATGTAGCTATAAGCCTAGTCAAAATCTAGAATGTTTCCTTTACCCTCAGGAAGTTTCTTGCAGGGATCAGTGTACTTGAGCTTTGAGCTGGACATAAAAGACTTGTAGGATGGGTCCAAGGGCTCAAAGTTTTATAGTTGGAACATCAGCTAGAAAGATTTCCCCAAAATATACTTCTTTTTTCCTTGTTCACTTGGATCTTCATTTCTTAGTGTCCTTCGATGAAGCATACAGGGTCTCATGCAGAGTAGAAGAAGAATTGAATGCGCACTTTGGTTTATCCTCTTGTTCTCCAGTCCACTCTGAGGTTCTCCAGGTCGTGTTGAGTTTTCTCCAGAAGATGCTTCGTACAGGCGGCCTCTTAAGATCCCCAAGTCGACTGGCTTTCATACTAACTGATCCCCTAGCACAGTTTTGTCCACCCTTCCTTAAGAGAATATTCTTGCCTCACTTCCCTGGAGAAAGGTCAGCTCCAGGCCAGTCTACGTACCACAAGAACAAAGACATTCTGGAATGGCCCAGGGAGTCATTTGCTGGTTTTCTCATTAACGTTTCCCTGGCTTTCCTCTCCCATTCTGCGATATGGTTTCTAAAAATGACCTGAACTGTCCAGGGTCCTTGTGGAGCCTGTTCCATTTTTACTTTAGTGAAATTGGCAAGGAGTGATTGAAGAGGAGCTTTTTGCAAAGGACCACCTTTACTTTCTTCTCCAATCCTATTCCTACTCTTGACTTCCAGTGTTGCAATTTGTGATGCCCTCAACTGAAATGTGTTAAAACAGCTAAAATACTAATTAGTATAGAGCTTGTCTGTCAGTTGGTTTTACTAGGATAACTTGTGGACTGCTGTGATGCGGAAAGCTAGTGTTTCAAATGCCAGAAGGATCACCCATAGTGGGTTTGGGCTGACATCCCAGATTAAGACAGAACAGGAAATAGGGTTGGCCATCGACTTCTGAAATAATAAGCCCTCTGAAAACGCTATGAACAATAGAAGAATATAGTATTAGAGGTAGACCCAGATTGGAAGTCATTCAAAATGAGGAGAAAGAAGCTGCAAGCCATCATGCTTGAAAAGATGGAGAGTCAATGAAAAGAGAGGAAGACCCTTAACGAGATGGATTGACACAGTACCTGCCTCAATAGACTCAAGTCTGTCAGAGATGATGAGGACGGCACAGGATAGGACAGGGTTCAGATTGGTGGTTCAGAAGGTCACTGTGAGTCATCCTCAACTGCAGCAAATGACAGCCACAGGTTGCCTCTCATCCCTTACTAACATCCGATTCTGAGCCTTATGATGAATCACAGAGAGGGGCAGCAGCAGTCCAGGAAACAGCACCAGATTGTAATTCATGGTCTCCAGGACAAGGGGTTGACCACTGGTCTCTTGTTCTCCTAGCATATGTGCGCCATTTACCATTAAAGTTTCAAATGTGAAAGGCACTTTGATGTGATCCTGATTCCCAAAGTCCACTGCTTGTGTAAATGCAGGTTTGATCCTATCTGCAGCCTGTTCCTGTGCCACCGGATGTCAAGGTTTTAGTTAGGGGAGGGATCTGGTCCTTTGCCCAAAAAAACACTTTCCAGATGTACCTGGAATCAGCATTGAGAGCAGTGGCATGGGACATGTTTGAGTGAACCACTGCTTTCAACTGCGGCTTAAGTATTCTCAATTGTTTTGTTTTGTTTTGTTTTGTTTTGTTTTGTTTGGAGCCTGGAAATTATTCCCTCTTGTCACTATGCTGTGTTGGTAATAGGGGCAGGTATGGCTAAGGACTGAGTACTGTAGGCTTTTGAAAGAGGCATCTCTGGACCGGTTGCACAGCAGTCAGCCTGGGCTCTTCCATGCATTCATTTAGAAGACATTAATGAAGCAGCCTGGTCAGTGCCATGGACTCTGCTGCAATGTGTTGACAGAAAAGCCCTCAAGGAACGAGTAGTCTAAAACAGTTGAACCTCACATCTGCAGAAACCAGGAAGGTAGCATCGCTGAGTGAAGAAGACAGGCTGTGGGTAATAGAGAGTGAGGAGAACCAAGCTTAACCCCAAAGGGTAGCCCGTGCAGGAAGCCCCCAGTCCCTCATGCCAGCGAGGGAATCATGGCTCTCAATTTGGTTATTTTTGGTTCTAAAAAGAAGTTAGGATCCAAATTTTATAGGAAGCCTTCCAACTTTTAGGTATTAGGACTATTCAGAGGCTGTTTCTGTTATTATGTGCCACTGAGTCAGAACTGACCCATAACTGACCCTCCAGTGGGTTTTCTGAGGCAGTAAGTCACACAGGAAGAGATTGCCCATTGTACTCCCATAGAGCAGCTGATGGATTTGATCCATGTGCCTGTGGGATCATAGTGCACTTTCTTACCACTAGGCCACCAGACCTCCCATCACTTTCTGCAAGATTTTTCCATCTGTATAATGTAAAGAGGAAAAGTTAGTAAAGATATAAAAGAGGTAAACCATACAGAAACTGGTCACTGATTGGACGCAGAGGCTGTAGAAAAGGAACTATTTAGAAGCCTCACCAGCAACTACGTAAGAGAGTCCATGAAAAAAGGGGGAAATGGTGAAGGAAGCTTGACCCTGTTGTGTGGACAAGTCGGAGCACAGTAAACAGAGAAGTGACTGGAAAGGGCTTCTGGACTCTGTGTTCGCCAGAGCTCTTATCATCACAATGACACTAATGAGGTATTCTTTTTTTTACAGGCTCACCCGGACCAAAGGGGAGCCCCGGCTTTCCAGGAATGCCAGGGCCCCCTGGACAGCCTGGCCCACGGGGCTCAATGGGACCCATGGGGCCATCCCCTGACCTGTCCCACATTAAGCAAGGCCGGAGGGGCCCTGTGGTCAGTATTGCGCCTGGAGATCCACTTTCCTCCATTGAGAGTATGTTCTCACCACGTGTTTTTCCTTCTGTTAAACCAGACGCCTTTCTCTTACAGGGTCCTCCCGGCGCGCCAGGAAGACACGGTTCTAAGGTGAGTCCCAGCCACGGTCTCTGTAAGCTTGAGGACGGTGTCCCTGCCAGCTGTGTAGCCGTCAAATGAAGCCCAGAGTCCACTTGCTGTCCTGCATCTTGCATGTGGCTAAACTGAGGCTGGGAAGAAATTCTAAAAAGCATGTTCTGTGGGAGAATGGTTCTGTGGGAACATTGGTTCAATATGGAACCTGCCAGAAAAAAACAACCACCAAACCACTCCTGGTGAAAAAAAAAAATTACACCAATATTGTTTGTTTGTAAAAATTACACCAATATTGTTTGTTTGTTTGTTTGTTTGTTTTATTGTGATTTTAACAAATGTTTACAGAAAGGTTGGATTTTCGTTCATTCATTCACTGTTGCACATTTTTCTCCCTCCACTCCCCATCCCTTCCCCTTCTCCCGGTCCGCTTTGTAATGCACCTCTGGTTACAGAGCGTTAGCTATCGTGCATACAGTGCCCAGCCATACGTTCCTCTCACGCACCCCTGCCCCTCATCTGTTTCAGTACCTTATTCATTATCTATCCACTCTTTTCCTGTTCTCCTCCCACCTCCCATGTCAGTCTTAGTTTGTCACAGTGGTGGTGTGCAGTATTTGTCCTTTTGTGGCTGAAATATTGCATAAACAAGCCATTAAAATACCGGTTGCTGTCACGTCAGTTCTGACTCATTGCTGCCCCACACGTGTCAGAGTAGAACTGTAGACTGTAGGATTTCCAGTGGCTTGAAATCGCCAGCTCTTTCTTCTGAAATGCCTCTGGGTGTCCTCAGTCCACCACTTTTCAATTAACCACTGAGCTCTCAACAGTTTCCACCACTCAAGGTTGTTTGGGTTGGGTTTTTCCTCCCCATTAGCCAGTGTCTTTTACAGAGTATTTTGGTTTAGTTTTTCCTTTTGGTCCCTTTGTGCTTAAGTTAAGGGCACAAGAAGTTCCATGCAGTGGAAATGAGGGGTATCGCTCTGAGAACTGCCCATTCCTGGCCTCGTAAAGAAATCCGTTTGCATTCCTCGAGAGGGGGGTCTAAGCTATTCCACATACTTCCTACAATGTGTGCATTCTTCTTGTCAGATCTGGTTTGAAAATAGGTGGCCTCAGAGAAAATCAGAATGAGAAGTACTTGACCCTCGCAGTTCTGTTGAAATAAGTGATCTCATGAATCTCACTCCAATCTTACGTTTGTTTCCAATAGAAAGTACTTACTGCTTTCTCATGGGGCTCTGGTGGTCTAGTGGGTAGGGAGTTAGGATGCCATCCCAAAGGCAGCTGGTTCAAATCCCTCAGCTACTTCTCAAGAGGAAGATGGGAATCTCCTCCTGTGCCATTCACAGCCTCTGAAAACCCACTGGAGGGTCAGCTGTGATTTGGTCCCAAACTGGATGGCAATGAGAGGAGGAGGATTGGTGGTACTGGTGGGTGTCTGCAGTCGACTCTGGAGGGGCATCCACTTGGTCCAGAAAGCTAACCTGCCCTTTCCTTTCTAGGGGGAGCGAGGAGCACCAGGGCCCAGGGGGTCTCCAGTAAGTAGCACGGCTTACCCTGCTCTCCCAGCGGGGATATTCTCAGTCTGCATCCTCGTGAGCCTGTGGGGAGGGCTGACAACCAACACTCCCTGTCCAGCCGTCACTTCATTGCCTCCGCACCACTCCGTGGTCATGCAGAGGGTCCCAGAAGCCTCTTGCAGCTGGTTTGGATTTCTTTTTGCATTTGTTTTCTGGGTTGTTGGTTTGTTGTTGTTTTTTTCTTTTCTTTTCTTTTACCATGCTCTGTCTTTAGTTGGAATGTCTGAATAGTCTAAATCGGGGCCTGTCCTGAGTCTGTTTCCCAGGTTTGTCATAAACCATTTGAAAGGGAAAATGTAACTGCGTGCTGAAGAGCAGCCACAGCTATTTATGACCGTAGCTGGTCAAATGCTCTGCCCTCAAAGATTAAGATGAGATTAAACGCAAAGATAAGCAGAGCTGCTGGAACTTCTGAGGAGAAAGTAGCTGGGCTGTATGCATCCAGCCTGCAGCTCAAGTTGCCTAATACAGCGCTGCTACCCAGAAGTATAGCAGTTCAAGCCCACCAGCAACTCTGCAGGAGGAAGTGAGCATTTTCTCCCCTCAATAAGATTTACAGCCTCAGAAACCCTGTAGTCATCATGTATTGGAATCTACTCATTGCCAGTGGGCTTAGAGATATTATAATAATTTGTTGGCACCGTGGTTAAGTGCTCAGTGGCTGCCTGAAAAGTCAGCAGTTCAAACCCACCATCTGCCCCTCTGAAGATGTGATAGTCAGGTTCCATAAAGATTAACCAAAATGAAAGCGAATCCACTGCCATTAAATTGGTTCCAACGCATAGCAACTCCGAGGCTGTAAATTTGTACAGGGGAGACTGTGCTTCTCTCCCCTCCAGACCACCTGGAAGACTCCAGCAGCTGACCTCTGCTTTAACCCGTGGAGGTAAGGGCTGAGGCAAAAGGACGAGTCTGTTGAGTTCTGACTGGTTTCTCCCACGTGCACAGGGGCCGCCTGGATCTTTTGACTTCCTGCTCCTGATACTGGCCGAAATCCGCAACGACATCACCGAGCTGCAGGAAAAGGTCTTCGGGCACCCAACTCACTCTTCAGCTGAAGAGTTCCCTTTACCTCAGGAGTTTTCCAGCTATCCAGAGACCATGGACTTCGGCTCAGGAGATGACTACCCAAAAAGAACAGAGACAAGAGCCTTGGGCACATCTGGAGACTTGTATCCTTAATAGAGCCCAGCATCTTCATGCCAAAGGGAGAGAAAAGCCGAGTGCTTGCGCCTGAAGTTGTCCATCCACAAAAGCACACACTGGGAGCATTGAAACGATGCATCTTATCTTCTTCCTCTTCGACCTGACTTCTCTCCATGTCTCTTCTACATAATTTCTTTCAGCACTTCCTCCTTTGGACAGGAGGGAGAGAATAAGTGATATTAGTGCTTGTCTCTGAGAACCAGTTGGGTTGGTCATCAGAGAACCTTCTCTTGTGCTTTCTAACGTTTTCAAGTACATCTAAGCTCCTGAGTTAAATATTTTCATAGTGTCTTAAAACTTGGAATAATATCCTCCAAAAAATGGGAGAAGGGAAGATGAACTCTAAGAAAACTTAAGACTGCTTATCAAAACAACTGGCTATGCACCCAAAGCAGACTCTTATTCTTCAGGTATCAATAGTAGGACAAGCTGTTAAGCGTTGAGAGTGAGGCAGCCGTGCAGACTCACTTGTCAGTCTAATCAGTTTCGAATATTATGTCCTATGATCCCATCTTGTTTCCCAGTTTTGGTCAAAGAGAGGAGAGACTAAAAACAAGGGCGTTCTGGTGGCCTAGTGGTAAGAAACTGTGTTGCAATTCCAAGGCACACGGCTGGAATCCAGCAGCGTCTCCACCCGAGAAGGGATGGGCAGTCTCCTCCCGTGTCATTTACTGCCTCTGAAAGCCCACTGGAGGGTCAACTATGAGTCAGTTCCAATTTGACAACACATCATAACAACAGAGTAGAGATTAGAGACGAAGGATAAAATTATAGACGTGGGTTTGTTGGTTGACACATCTTAGCAGCTCAGGACGGCTGAGCAGTCGCTTCGTGCTTCTCTCTAAATTCCCCGTTCAGAAGAGAAGGTTTGCTGGCTGTAGGGACAGATCCTCTTTTCAAAGCACAGTGAATGAAATGCCCAGGCTCACATTAGCACAATAGACTTCCGGTTTGCCAGAACGTTTCCATTGAATGACAATTGAATTACATTGAATGAGTCGGTCTGCTCATTAAATATAGTGTGTGACGCATCAGGGGATGCCCAGAAGGTACCACCAAGTTGTTCTACAGACAGGATCATGAGTTCAAGGTTGGAGATAGCTGACTTGAGTTAATTGGGCAGGATTTAAGGCATCTTTTCATCCATTGAAACCAATTCAACCCAGGCAGGTCATTTGTTCTCCTTGGGTACTAGACAGTTTCGCCTGGGGTCCTGTCTGGAACAGTAGAGAAAGTTGTCTGGGGTGGGGAGAAAAAACAATACCATAGAGAAGGTTGTCCTGGGTGGGAACTGCCTTTTTTTGTCATCCCCAGTTTCCCTTAGTGCTTCGTAGGTCAGTCCAAATGCCAGCTTCTCTTTCTGTCAGACCTTCCCTTTCATTTCCCCCTCTCGGCAGATGTGAAGGGCAATTCAGCTGGGGGTGTTTTTTGAGAGGTCCCAGCAATTGTGTTTTCTCAGGGCCTGTTTGTGTCCCAAGGCAGAAGGCAGCAGAGGACATGGCTTCCCCTGTATTCACAGTCCCCAAGGTCAGATGCCCAGGGCCTGATTCCTATATAATCATGTAACTACATGACTCTGTGATTTCAGTGGTAACTCACAGATTCTTCTCCCCTCCCCCCCCCTTATTTTATTGGACTTCCCAGGCAGCTTTTATCCACCTGTTTAGGAGACATTCTCCCCTATTTTCTTCTTCTGATTGTGATCTGACTTGAAAGTTTACAAAACAAACCTGTTTCCCATTCAGTCATTCATGCCCATTTTGCCTTGGCCATTCATTACAATACCCACAATTGTAATCATATTCTTCCCTTTCCTCCCTGTGAGTCTCCTTTCCATTAAGCCACCTGTCCTGTCTCCTGTCACTTTCAGCCTTCTCATTATCATCTGAGGAGATGCTGTCCTGTTGTATGGCTGATGGTTCTAAGAAGTGAGTACTCCCTGGGGTCATGTTCACCTTACAGGTCTATGTGGATGAAAGTTGAGCCATAGAGTAATCTCCAAAACAATCACTAGAGTCTCTAGATAAAGCATCAGTTAAATGTGTGGCTATTAACTAAGAGGTTAGTGGTTCAAATCTACCTAGAAGCACCTTGGAAGAGAGACCTAGAGATCGACTTCTGAGTTAGCGCAGTCACTGAAAAGCCCGTGTTCATCTCTGACACTCACATGGCCCCCGTGAGTTAGAATGGAATCTATAACTACTGGTTCGCCTTGGTTTCCTGCTTATATTAATGATCATTTTCACAGCATATGCTTGTTCATCATGGGGTTCCCGTTTCTCCCCTGTGACTTCCCCCATTTGTTTGAAAACCTTTCCTTGGGTGTTCATTTTTCTTTCTGCTCTTAACCTATATTCTTTAACTCTCCTATTGAGGAAGCTCATTGAAAGAACTGCTATTTTCATATCTGGATGTCACTTCCCCATCTTCTTTCTTAAGACCAATAGGAAGGGCCCCTCTTTGTAGTCCTCCTCCTGTTCCCTTCTCACTAAAATACAAGAATCCACGAGAAAAAGAAAACCAGCTGATCGCTGAGGGTTTTACCCACACTTTATCCTGCTCTTTCTTACTTGTCCAAAATACCCAGGGACTGTCCACCAGAGTTTAAAAGTGAGAGAAAGTACATCCACAGTGTCCCCTTTCTAGTGTCCTCTCTTCCTTCAACCTCTCAGAATCCAGCCTTCAGAGTCAAGGGCACCGCCAAGGACGGGTTTGCAGAGGTGAACCAAGCAGCCATTGACTCCCATCTGGAATCTATTTCACATTTGCCTGCATGTGGAACACAGTATTTAAAGAGTGTGGATGGATGGATGGGTGCTGAAGAAAGCTGTGCACGGTCCCTATGAGAAAGGCTTAGGCCTTTCCTTTTTTTAAAAAATGAAGACTTTTATTTCCTTTTCTTAATAGTGAGCTTTGTTTAGAAACATAATCTATTTTATTGTCAAAGGCTCATAAAATACAGCCAAACTGCATATTTGGCCATAGGCTAGAATAATATATATTAGAGCAGAAAGTAGTTTTATCTGGAATTCATGAGATTATTTTAGCTAACAACTTCCAGCAGTGATACCTGTGTTTTATCATCTCAATCTGCTTCATCAGATCAGTTTATAAATTATTAATCCTCGTATTTTTATAACATGGACCACCAAATTAATTAAGTACTCTTTACTGCCCAAATTCTCCTTTTTCCCCCAAGGTAAGCTATAATAAGGCATTGTGATTTCTAATGTATCTTTAGTTCTTGATTGAAAATCAAAGCTTCACTGTCTGAAACAAGACTTCTTCACAGGGCCTTTGAACAGTGGGGAGAGGGTCCGTGATCCAGGTCAATTTAGCTCCTGTCTTGTTACTCCATTTCATGGGGTGGGCAGAGTGGGGAGATGCTTTCATTCCTCCCCAACACTTTGTAGCTGTGTTGGCTTCAAATGTTTGTCCTCTCATAACTAGGATTTAGAAGAATAGTTCCAAGAAAACATATCTGTTAGCTTAGGAAATCACCTTCCTGTCCCAACTCTAGAGAAAGAAAAGAAGAAATGATGAACTTGGAGTTGGGAGAGAATGTGGAAGCTCAAAGGAGGTGCTGCTTTCTCTAGTCTTTATCACTTCCCAACTCCAGCCACAGGTTTGCAGAGCACTTGTGGTGTAGTGCATAAGATACCCAACTGTTAACCAGCAGGTCAGCAGTTTGAATCCACCTACTGCTCAGCAAGAAAACAATGAACAGTCTTCTCTGTAAAAAGAGTGCAGCTGACACGGACGGCAGCCAGGTCAGACTCCATTAACCTCACAATAGGAACAGTCCCCATCCAAAACATCCATGATCAAAACCAGTTTCTGTGCGGTCAAGCCCCTATACCCCTTCTATCAATTAAAACACCAACTGTCCCTTCAGACCTACTTCTATCAATTCTAACACCAACTATCCCTCCAAGGGCTTCTGCTCTACTATTGGGTCAGGAGTCTGTTGTCATGGCCACACAGAACCGGAAGACCCATACTTAGAATTATCGGGCTTCTTAGGGAAATTGACAGGTTATAGTTCAAGGTAGAAACAGAGTCCAGCCTTTTTATCAGGATAGCTTCACAAGTATGTTCCTAAGCCCTCTGAACTTCAGCCGGTCAGCTTTAGGTCAGTGTTAAGAAGCTCTTAGTTCTGTCTGTTATGGCATCTCCCACCCTTAACTTCGTCCAGTACCCTGAAAAGCTTGAGTGAGGGCCCCTGTCTCTGACTCCATGGAGCAGCAGTCCAGGGGCAGCTCTGTCTCACCTTGGTCTCTGGTTTTCCGCTGCTGCTGCTGCTGCCGCTCTCCTCCACGTCCAAGTCTGACTGACGCAGGAATCTCGGCACCCCCGAGGATGCTTGCTGCGTTCTCTGCTGCTGCTTTCCTGCTCAAAGCAAGATTCTCTTCTGTCTACACCTGCTCTGTGTAAGCCCAGTGGGATGGCCAGCCTAACCAGTCTTATCATAAGTTATCTACACATCTTGTTTCCATGTTTTCACCCAAAAGGTCCTGTTCACCTCATTCAGATCATTAGCTCAGCCCTACCCAGCCATGTGGAAAAAACCAAAGCAGAGTGCTAGGAAAGCCATTCTGCCCCTAAAGCCATTGTGCAAAATCCCTGTACATTGTGTAAAAATGGACCGCCTCGGACACTGCTGAAAGACCACCATGAGTCAGCATCAGTGGCACTCGGGCCATAGACTTTCCTGACCAGCTGATGTCTGCTGTTGAATACCACCCAAGTGTATCCACCACCTGCTAGGGAAAAATCAGGTGTACCACAGCTGAGGTGGGCAGTTGTTGGCCACCTGGTTCTGCTAAGTCCCCCGCTCCAGGGTTCATGAGGACGGAGGTTTAGGGGAGCCTTGTTCCTCCCCAGACATGTAAGAGAACAGAGTCTTTGTGAAGAGAAGCCAAGGGTCTCCCTGGCATGGGAGACATCAGCTTTGTCATCCTTCAGACGTCCCTCCC